TCGTCCATTTTTATTTTAAGATGCTGTTCTGTTTAAGGATTCCTCTCAGGAGATACAATGTAGTCCCTAGGACAACGATTTCACTTGTTTGGTCTTCTTTACTTGTTTCCTTTTTTTTGATTTCTTTGAATAAAAAGCTTAAACTAACCCGGTTGAAAATTTTTCTTCTTCTGTAGTTCGATGTCCCGCGGACTTGGCTACAAATTGACGAAAACTGTTTCGGAATATCTCGTTGCATTACGGAGTTATTCAAAGAGGCGCATAGTATCTTATATTTTGAATCCTATAGTAGTACTTCGATCCTTTGAGTCGATTAGTCGATTTTTTCATACGCACTTCGAATCGTAAACTACTTTCAATTTTGATAATAAATATTTCAATTTTATTTGATATACAAGGAGGTTCGCCGTACAGCTCTCTACTTAGCTTATATCAAGAAAGTCAAACGAAAAAATATCTGAAACTGGCAGTATACTTTTAGGAGCTCTATAGTCAATCACTAAACATAGGTAATATTAATACTCCGTTTGCTCACTTTTCAAATTGAATAGATAATACAGATGTGATAAGTATTCTAGTTAGGAGGACCGAGTTTTAGAGGCTTCTTCCAATCAGTGTGTTTCTGTTATAGTATATTAAAAATTCATAACAAACAGTTCGATATGCAGCTTCCCACAAGGAATTCAGTGGTAATACGAGAACGATCAACAGAGCCATCGATTACAAGGGATGACCACGACATCAATAATTTGTCGTCTAGCTCATCACCCGTATACCAGATTGTAAGAGACAGGTTGTTGTTATTGAAACATGCTTCGGTTTCAACACGTTCCTTGACTGTACTACATTATTTAATAGAATAGCATCAGTGTCGTCCCATCACCACGATGAAATCACATACAAGCCCTCTGTCTTCCATTCCGCGCAGAGATAGGACGTATTAACAAAGGACTTCTCACCATCATTCGCCACAAGACAAGTCACCGAGGAATGTCGTATATTAACTAACAGACTATCTAGACAAGTCAGTCATAGGGATTGATTGTGAACATCAACTCAAGTCACCAAGACAAGCCACACAGAAAAGGCAGGTCACCAAGACTATCGCTGATAACATCCTTGTCAATACGCAATGTTTTTAACAAACAAAAAAGGCAGTCGATCTAACAACTGCAAGATAAGAAACATATATGCGCGCATACGTGTCATTGTTTAACATACGTTCGGCGAGCTACTGTTTTACAGGATAATTACACGATCTTTCCTCGAATTGGTGATCAGTTCCTGTTTTGACTAATTTTACGATCGATAATTATTGAAAATGTGCTTCGCTCTAATGTTCTATTACAGGAATCGATGTTTGTACTTATTGTTAATCTGATGTAAAATTCTAACCAAGAAAGCCTTGATAGGCGCCTAGATGTTGTTTCCTCCCTTCAAATTTTCTAATTTTCTTTTCTCGTTTGTTCTGTTCAAATGAGATTTTTCCTTGTTTATAAACGTCTTTCCAAAATAAAAATTCCTAGTAATCTCCTAAAAAACGTGTATTTCTGCATTTTCTTTTGTGTTTATTAACGTTTTTCAGTATTTGCACTAAGTATGGCGGCCAAGGTGGTCTGAAAGAACTGGCCGCCATACTTAGTGCAAATACTGAAAAACGTTAATAAACACAAAAGAAAATGCAGAAATACACGTTTTTTAGGAGATTACTAGGAATTTTTATTTTGGAAAGACGTTTATAGTCATATTTATCGAAAATAGATTTTAATTGCTGAACTTCATTTGAGTTCGGCAAATAATCGATGAATGTTGTCTGAGCTAGCAATTTTGGAAGTTTCATCAATTCAGTTTTATCATTGTCATATCTATCAATAAATAATGTCCAATATCGTTCAGATGTGCACATAATTCGAATTGGTTCCTTTAACTGTTGAATTAAACATGGTAATTCATTCCATTTTTCACGTGGATTCCATATAGGTAGATACACTGACGTTTTTTCTACCGCTTTCCAGTTCCATACGTCCGAACCGATGATTTCTTCAAGAGCCAACGGTTTTCCTGGTTTATCAAATAGTCTTTCATAAGGTTCACAATTTTCACGTTCGTGTACTTGTTTGCTGGCACAGGATTGGTGACATACCTGACATTGCACATAGTTATCCGTTGTAAGGGTGACAGAGACATTAGTGATAGCTTTATCGATGATTTCCTTCATCTTTTCATGAAAAGGATAATTTACCGTATTTCGCAATGTGCTGATCAATACGACTTTTATAGACTTCAGAGAATTTTGTACCCACATGTAAGCTAAACGAAAAGAAATAAGTTTGTAATGAACGCGTTTCTCACCGTTGTTTGTGTATAGATGCAAAAAAAGACAGTTCTTCAGTTCTTATACTTGAATGACTAAAGCGCTTGAATTTTTCTGCTATCCTATATCTTACCGCATCAGTTCATTAGTTGTTGCACTAAATATATCATCAGCATCATTGTCATCATCCTTCTCTAAATCAGCATCTGCATCATAATCCATCCGTCGTTTTTCATCATTCAGTGTTTCATAGGCTAGTTCCATCGCTTGAAATAGGCTAGTCGTATCATTAACATTTTTATCTGGATGAAACTCACGTGCACGTCGTTTATAGGCTGCACGAATTTTCTTGTGTCGCATTTGCAGTTACACCTAACCATTTATAAGGATCTTTTTCTTGTAAATTTGGAAGAGTTCTGTAATGAAGACAAAAAGGAAAACGTGTGTGATATCTCGTACCTTTGCAGGTTCTGCAATAGCTCT